ACATCAGAATGAAATTACAGAACCGCCATGAAATATGCACAGGAAGTTAGACCTTAAGGTCAGCCAGGGCCAATCCAGAGCGACCAGTGCATAGAGTGGGAGGGGAACTGATGCTAATCCTCTGATTGGACAATGAGATGACTCAAAAGACATGTCCGTCCTTGGGTCATCCTTGGGTAACTTCATTATGGAGTGGGGGGACGTACTGTTGTCCCTGGAGGAAACGTGTTAATAACTTAAGTGAATACTCCTACTGTCTGTTATCAGTTCTACGGATGAGTCTGTGTGCATTATGGGAACATTTGTCACCTTGGCAGAAGAGAAAATCAATAAAGTGTGACCCAACATTGCGATCGGTAAAATATAATTTGTAGGCGAGGACATCTCTGAAGCACTACAAGTATGTATATTGAAACATATATTGCCTTATTATATTATATTGTGGCTCTTGCAAATGTGCACATAGTGCAATTTTGATAAAATTCCACTTAAATGCTCAGCCCTACAGTAATAGTAATTAAACTGAATAGATAAAAACTGCTGCGAAAAGAAAAATTGCAAACTTTTGATTGAGTGTCTAAACTTTTAACAGATCCAGAACAGATTTATTCCAGCTATGGACAAAAGTTCATATAGACAATTTGGGTTGATCCAACCACGGGTACCTGGCTGACAACCACCTCACATCATACAATCATACTGTAAAGGCAAAGAGGCCATTGAAAATAGTGAGTGAATACATTATACATGATGTGAGAATGTAATGTGAATAAATATGTAATGTGTATTAATAATGGAAATAAGTCTCTCCTAATTCAATATAATCCCCTCTACAGTATGTGCAAAGGGGGCAAGGAATGCAGTTGCAATTAATCTTGAACACAGTGTACATTATCAAAGGGCACGCAGGGCGGCCTAAGCCAGCATCATGACACAAAAGATTTATTTCTCCTCTGAGCCTTTGAAACTCTGCTAAGAATAAGACTAGGATTTGTTTCCAGTTGTGAAACTGTTCACAAAGATACCAAGAAATACGCAATGGCAGTTTCTTGGTGACAAAGATTATTTTTAAAGGCTTTTCGCTGTGGGCATGGAAAATTCTGCAGTGCCATTTAATTATTCTAAAAATGCCAGAACAATTAAGCTGTCTATAAAAGCACACACACTGTACTTTTGCAAACCTGAACTTTAGCTGTTGTACAGCTCACACTCTCTTAATGAGGTAAAATACAACTAGTTAGGCGTGTCTACTTCATGGTCTACTTGCAAGGAAAGATATTTTCTTGGGAAAATACAACTTGTGTGATAGATAATTAGTACGTCAGTCATGGTGAAGACTTACTTTCTGTAGACAACCCCTGGTTTGGCTGTGACAAACGGTCTCAATAAAGTCTGGATGCGGCTTTCCCAGCACCAAAAGGTGGGGTAGTAGGTCTCTGACACTACCGGACATTGCTCCCTCAGAAATTGGTAGAACTTTTTACCCCCGGAGATGAGCTTTGGCTTCTGCAATAGACAGGGGAAAGGGTGAAAATACAAGTAATTGTTTTCATTTTTGCCTCAGGGTGCAATTCATTTGACTGTTCATTATATGACAGCAGATCCTTCCATGTAATGAAGCTTAGCTCTTGTTTGTAACATCATATGTTGTAAAATGTTAAATTGCATTAAAACTTACATTTTGGTCTCACTACATAAATACTTCAAAACAGACCAAATAATTATTTAAAAATATTACAGAATATTTACGTTGTGGTATATGATTACATTTCAGCATACAACAGAAACACATCTGCTTAATCTATTATACTTTAACAGATCATATTAAACGTTAATCCTTCATTAGTATTGCATAACAACAACTAGTAAAGGTTTTTATCTTTGATCGTTGATATCAATGGGATTTTCACCTGGTTAAATAAAGGCTACACACATCTAATAAAGCCATCGTCTATTACAGTAGCTTCATTTTTTGATTAAGGTCATTCCACTGGAGAAATGGTAGGATGATTGTTAATAAATCCAGCAATCTAATTGACAAATCAAACTTATTATCTAATATGTTTACTCACATAATACATTTCTATAAAAAAAGATATTCCTGGTTCTATTAATGTCATTGTTTAACTCGTGCATAATCTTATTCAGCAGGGGATTTGTAATTACATAAAGCCAACACCGTGAGTCTGCTTGCCATGAAATGAATGACGGCAATTTTACCATGCAGCGCAGAAAGCCTTGAAACGGCATGTCTAGCTAACATACAGTAACGTTAGCCTAGCATGGTCAATGCCGACATCAAACTGTATGCAGGGGATTGATTTATTGTTGTTACATAAGTGCTGCACATGGATGTAGATGAATGTGCACATCAATTTTAGATGAATGTGCGCATCCGAGCGTGTCTTATATGCCTGAGATCCATCCCACATGTGTAACGTTTGCACACTGGTGCACAGATGAAACATAATCGAGACCTCCATCAGCAGGAGCCCCAGTCAACACCATCACCCGGCCGGAAGAGTGATGCTCCACCATGACAAGCACAGCGGTTTTTATTGAACATGCAGGACCATAATGCACATAATAGTCCCTCTAAAGCAGGTTATAAAACATGACTTACCTTTGCTACTGAAAGCAAATAATAGCAGGTGTACGCTGCGCTAAAGCCCAGAACCAGAGACAGTCCTAACCCCGATCCAAAAAGCCCAACTTTCACTTGATTTTCCAGATAATGTGAGAGGTCCCTAGTTAAAATGTTGAAATTGAAGTCCAGCTCAGTCCAGATCATTGCAAGGTCTCCTGTTTATCCTCGTACTGCAAGGACAGCGGCCAGCTCGGGTGAAAGTCAGCTGTGTCTGCCTGCGAGCCCACTGTTAAGGAGGAACAATAGTAAAGGGGACCATATAAGGGGAGATATAACGCTGTGTGCAGAGCGGTGGCGCTTTATGACCGGCTATGTACAGTCAGACAGACAAGCAGGCAGGCTCACAGTCGCTCCCTGCAGACTACAGGGGGGAGGTGCACCCTGCGGCTCTGCAGATGCAGTATTGGCCTGGAAGCCTTCCCTTGAACTCAGCCAAAAGACAATAAACAGATAGGTGCAATGACAGCATTCAGAGTTCGGAAGTAACTGAGTGCATTTACTCAAGTACTGTACTTCTTGAGTATTTCCCTTTGATGGTACTGTATACTTTTACTCCACTACATTTCAAAGGAAAAGTAATGTTATTTTACTCCACCACATTTATTTACCACCTTTAGCTACTTTTAACAAAATGCATCTCTAAAAATTAAAGTAGTGATTCAAGATTCAAGGATTTTATTGTCATTCGTACAGTGTAGTTATGTCGATGACAATAGGTCACATGCTCCTCCAACAGTGCAACACAATAAAACAGATACAATAGTGCAAGTAAATACAGTACACATAAAATATAATAGAAATAGTGGATTAACTAAGACAAAACAGTAATACAAATTATTTTAAAAAAAAAATCAGAACTGTTTTTGTCTATAACAGTCAAATGTAACTCAATGCAACAATAGTATCTAAATGTCACATTTATAGATAGATTTATATACTTTAAGTACATTTAACTGATAATACCTTTGTACTTTTACAGTAAGATTTTGAATGCAGGTCTTTTACATGTAGTGAAGTATTTTGATAATAATGGTACTTTTACTCAAAGTAAAGCCTCTGAATTCTTCTTCCATCACTAACAGCATTACCTTCTTCAGCTTCTTAAACAATGTAACGTGTTTGCTGCAGTGGTAATCCACATTACAACTGGATTATCAACAGAAGGCAGCTACCCCAGGGGCTACAGACCCACAGGGGGCGCCAATTAGATGGTGGTAATTTAATTAACTGAGAATGCGTTTGTAGGGCTACTGTATGCACCACTAAAGCACACTATGATAGGCGCCTTAAGGCAACATATTGCCTAATTTGGGGCCCCATTTAGTATTGAAGGACCCTGGGTAACTGCTTAAGCGCTTTTATTTAAATGAAATTCATGTTGAGTTTATATGGTAGATTTAAGGTGCATTTCTGCTTAATCCTTACATAATGCAACGAGATCGGAAACAAGTTCAAAAGGGCCCACAGAAATGTTTTCCCGGAGCTAGAGAGTGCTATTCTAATATGTGCCAACCGGAGATTATTATTGTTTGTCTTTGAAAGTAGTCTGTTTTGGTGTTATCAGACACATGTACAGCATCTGGTGAGTCTGATATAAATACAATTTCAACTTAGAAATGTGTTGATTATGAACAGTTAATACAAATGTAATATACAAAGCAAATAGAATAATTTTTCAATATCTTAGTTGAGTTATGTTTACAATTAATAACTGAATTCAGTAAAGTAAAGTTTTAACATGTCCTTGAAAGGAAAAACAAAAGCCATTCCATTTATAAATACCAGCTGGAATTCTTGGACAGACTTTTTCTTCTGTGTCTGCTGGATCATATTTAATTTAATTTGAATTCATGTCAGCTTCCATCAGCTCAGACAGCTTAAATGATACCATTATAAATTAAATGTGCAGTATACACTGCAGACAGTTTAGTATGTGAGCCATATGCAAAAATATATTGTTCCAGATGTAACAATAGGTAGTGTTCATTAAATATTTACTCAATGTTGCTCTATACAGAAGTTCCTGCGACTAGACATGCATGTATTTGTCAAACACCGGAGAAAAAATTATTTTGCTCAAAAATCACTGTTTGATTGTTGTTATTGACTGTTTCTGTATACTTCCCCTGACGAATTCAAACATTTAAAAGGGATGGGTTGGTTTCAGATTACTGGTATTATTTCAAAATAATCTGGCAAAAGATTCAAAAAGATCTGCTTCATCTACTTATTAAAATGGGTTAAAATACAGAGATTATGTTTTTTATCTTTACCACACAGAAACTGAGAATGGGTTTGGACATCCAGAAGCGCATGCGCGCCCTGGGCTGGACTCGTACTTGTTTTCTAGCCTCTCGTCTTCGGGCTTTGTCGTTCACCTCCGTAGCTAGTTGTTGCTCGTCTGAGGTCTGAACGATGATTGACAATAATGGCGACGCGGTTATTCTGAGTTGACTCCAGGGAACCATCTCTGGCTGACAAAGGGAACATCTTGGATGGATTTTCAGCACCATACACAACAACAATAATAAGGATAAGCAGTGACCAAAAGGACTACATTTACCTCAACGAAAAGGACTTGCTAGCCTGGAGAGGTTTTATCTTGCTAGCATTGCGATAGCATAGCAACTCAGCTCGCTAGCTTGCTAAGTTGAAGAGGTGGCATTCTTGTGTGTGGAGTGGAGGAGAGACATAGCCAGCTTGCTGGGTACTGATATCTGTCTTTGCTAGCAATGTTGCTTCTCAATAGGCTTTTGGGGTGATTCGTGTCTTATTCTCAGAGGCAAACCGAGGCGCTTGCAAATAACGTTAGCTTTTAGGAATAGTTTTGTGAGACAGCCTCCTTAGGTAGCTAACTTAGCTACTAAGCTAACAGGCTAGCTTTAGGAATTGTTCCAGTCTCTTTCCTGTTAGGACCTGCTCGCACTTGCAGCTGGAAACTGTCCACCGATCGCTAGCAACGACTGCTGGCTTGCAAACTTGTTGGAAAGAGTTTTGGTACTGCGCGTCCTTTTTGAAAATGACCACCGGGAGGAATAACCGAGCGATGATGGAGGGAGTTGGGGCGAGAGTGGTCCGGGGACCCGACTGGAAGTGGGGGAAGCAGGATGGTGGAGAGGGACATGTTGGCACTGTTAGGAGTTTTGAAAGTCCAGAGGAGGTGGTCGTTGTCTGGGATAACGGGACGGCTGCTAACTACCGCTGCTCCGGGGCTTACGACGTGAGGATATTAGACAGTGCTCCAACAGGTAACTTTACATCCGTTCCTTTTAGTTTTTCAGCACTTTGAGACTCATTTAAAGACAAGTGTATTTTAATGCAACACAGGGTAATGCTCAATATAAAAGACAGTGGTTCTTTATTGGCCTTCATTTAGAGACTTTGTAGTAAGATGCATTTGTAATCCTAGCAGCTATGAAAGTTGTTGCTGTAATGAAAACATAATATTTTGCCATTTAACATAGTTTTTGTATTACATTTTAGGAATCAGTTAATTAGTTTTAGCTAGTTTATTATGTATGTTGAAAGCAGACATTCTGTTGACTACCGCAAAAGTAGATCAGTATTTAAATGTTCTCTGAACAGATGTGTGTCAGATATCACTGTGTTCAACATATGCTAATAAGCTGTGGTTAAGAGTTGAGAATAGGACAACATAATGGCTTGTGATTTCAAATAACACATTTAGAGGAAAAACATGTTCAAGCATTCAATAAAAGTATATCAGCAGGATAGACTACTTACCCATTGTTTACCCTCATCACCTTGTTGTTGCCATTGTCTTACATCCCAACACAGCTACACTTTTCAGCATGTTTCCCATTGACTGGCTTCATTCAGTTTCTTATAGCTTTACCTGAGTAACGGTGGAGAAGTTGGGTTTTCAGAAGTCCTTTTCATTTTCCCTATCTTAAAAAGAGAATGATAAAATCACTTGTTGCTAAAATTGGTCTAGCTGTTATCAGGTGTCACACGAGCATGTATAACACCCTTCAAAAATATATAGGTAATAAAGACAAGTTTTAAAGTGCACACAATAGTCTCAAACTATTTCAAATAGGCTACTTAAATAAATGTTACCGCGCAGAGGCAATAAACATTGTTGATAATAAAATGTGAAAGTTATTGAAGTAGTATTACTGATGTACAATATACACAAATGCCAGCACACAATATAACCCCAGTGTATTAATGTAGTCTCCTTCTGCCTCCCCCTTAGGCATCAAGCATGATGGAACCATGTGTGACACCTGCCGTCAACAGCCCATCATTGGTATTCGCTGGAAATGTGCTGAGTGCACCAATTACGACCTTTGCACAACCTGTTACCATGGAGACAAGCATCACCTGAGACACCGGTTCTACAGGATCACCACCCCAGGCAGTGAGAGGTGAGTTAACCAACCAGCAATTGCTAGTAATGTTCCCCACCTTTGACCCCCCCCCCCCCCACATCGGTAAAAGGAGCCCAAGGTAGCCAGATAAATCCCTGGGGCACATCGATTGTGATTGGTTGCGTTGCAGGCTTTCACTCCCCTTAGTTTGGCTTTATGTGTGTCTGTGTGTGTGCACATTTGAGAAGTCTTTTGTGGCAGCATGCCTCTCAGGCAAACATCCATCTCTATCTCTATGGCTCGCAGGCCGCTCAGTTGCCAGGCAACACAGAGCCCTTCATTTCAAGATCGGTCAACCTTTTTGAAAATGACATTAAGCCGCCCACTCACCTAGACCGATTATGAAATTTACTGACAACATTTTCTGATTGGTTTTAGTGTATATCTTCAGAAGGCTTTANAAACACAGCCAAACTCATCCTGAGCACACACAAACTCACAGCCGAAGTAAAAACAATAAGTGTGGCTTGATATTGAGCAAGAAAAAGGTTTATAGGTTGATAAACGCTGTGAGAATGGGTCTGCAGAGAGAATTTCGCCGCAATCCCAACTGTCTGTTATCAGCCTGCAGCCAGGGAGGAGAAATCAGCAGAGCTGCCTGCACTGTGTGTGTGTGTGTGTGTGTGTGTGTGTGTGTGTGTGTGTGTGTGTGTGTGTGTGTGTGTGTGTGTGTGTGTGTGTGTGTGTGTGTGTGTGTCCGTGGATTGGTTCATTTGGACCAATCAGCCTGGTCATAGCTCTGGGCGTGGCTACTGGGTGTTCAGACGTCACAAGGTCCAGGAAGTACATGAGAAATCTCCAACGAGGCGTTTTTCTGTGTTCAAGTTTTACTCGCTACAGGGTGTACTTTGAGGGTTTTTGACTCTGCAGACCGTTTACATGCATAAAAACCTTCATAACACACAAGGGGACGGGTAATAACCGGAAAAGCATGACATGTCTCCTTTAAAATGTGATTACATGTAACCTAAGGGCTTATTCAAATGATTCCTAACATGAGAAAGATCCAAATAAGTATAAAGTCTAAGGTTGAATATATTTGAATACATGTATGTAATAATAGATAGGAATTAGCTATACAATGAATTCACACAAGATATTGTGACATTAGTCAATAAATATGAAGGCAGATCAAGCTACAGCTGAAATGATTAGTTAGGTTATTATGGTACTTCATATCATTTTTTTTTCAAAAATGCCAAATATTCGCTGGTTGTAGCTTCTCAAATAAGAACATTTGATGTTTTCCTTTTTCTTCTGTGATATTGGATAGTTACTGCTGTCAAAAGTATACATTAAAAAGTGTCCTCTTAGGCTTTGGAAAATGTAAACTGGCCTTTTTCCCTTTAGTCTTATGTTTGATAAACCAAGCTATTTGTCTGTAGTGTAGGCAATAATGGATAACATCACTTAAAAGGATTACAGTGTCAGTGATACTGCCACTGAACACTGCCCTGTGCAGATAGGCTCCCCAGCACCTAATGGGCGAAGCACTGGCCTATGTTAAACTCAGGTCCCATCAGGAGTGTGTAGCAGAGTGGAGCAGCGGAAGTATACTCGGTTTATAACAACGAGGTCGATTGATGGATACTATTATATGATATGTAAGACGTTTTACAGAGATACTGAACATCTATGAACAATATCAGCATCCGCAGCCTTAAGAAAACATCTTTAAAATGCAGTAATTTAAATCATTGAATTGGTAATTTCTGTTATCATGACTTTGCTGTGTTTTTCTACAAGTTGTAATATGTGTAAGGCATCTCTCTGCGAATCCATTCCAGAGGTGAGTCCAGAAATTAGTAAATGTGTGAACAGAAGATATGTTATCTCTAAAATGTACTGTATATAAATGAAATTCCTTTAAATTGGTGAAGTCTTTATATAATGTTAAAAAGCTATACTTTCCCAGCTTATCTTGAAAAATACTATATTATCACTAGTATTTCTTCAGGACACGATAGAGATGAACTCTTATTTCGGAAAAGGGTTAAATTCCCCTTTTAACTTGAAGAACTTTGAAAGGCAGGGCAGGTCATTTACATTAAATTACATTTAGCTTTTATCCAAAGCGAATTACAATAAGTGCATTCGACCAAGAAGATACAAACTAGAAGAAAACCGAATTTTAGAAGTACATCAGGTTTCATAGAGCCAAAACATTTAAAGGGGACCTATCATGCAAAATGCACTTGTATGTCTTTTATACATGAATATGTGTCGCCGGTGTGTCAGGGAACTCACCAATGGTGCATTTCCACTACAGCACGGAGCTCGCTTTAAGCGTGCGGGGCCCGTTTTTGGTTGCGTTTCCACTTGGCGTAGTTCCGGCTAGTGGGTACTATTTCACAGTTTTCTGGCCCCATAAAATCGAGGTTCTTTCCGGGCCAACAACCAGGCTGAGTCGGGCTGAGTATGCTAAACTAGAGAGAGAATCGCTGGCAAGGGGGCTACAGTACAACTACAACAAGATGAACATATTTGACCGTGATTTAGTTGTAATACACGTTTCAAAAGGATGCCGAAGTAACAACATACTGATACCGGTTAGTAAAAACCATGAATTAATGCTTTGACAAGTCTGCAGACAGACGGCAGGCGAGAAACCTTTTAAAATACGTGTTTTCTGAATGGAGATTGGCTAAGCTAACGCAGAATATGCTCCGACCTTCCACACAACAACGGCCTAAACAGACATAAATAAACCAGCGACTGTATTCGCCATGACACAGACAGTCTGTGGTTTGTACTTGTTTAACTTTTGTCTAGTTTCTGAACAGATATGAGGAGCTGTGNCCCCCCCCCACATCGGTAAAATGGACCCAAGGTAGCCAGATAATCCCTGCACTCGATTGTGATTGGTTGGCGTTCGCTTTCACTCCCTTAGTTTGGCTTTATGTGTGTCTGTGTGTGTGACATTTGAGAAGTCTTTTGTGCACCATGCCTCTCAGGCAAACATCATCTATCTCTATGCTCGCAGCCCTCAGTTGCCAGGCAACAACAGAGCCTCATTTCAAGATCCGGTCATACCTTTTTGAAAATGACATTAATGCACCACTACCTAATTATGAAATTTACGACAACAATTTTCTGATTGGTTTTAGTTGTATATCTTCAGAAGGCTTTATGCTCATCAAACAACATGCAGTTTGATTGAAAGTCGATTTTGCAGCTGACTTTATAAATGCAAAACATTAGCGCTTTGATTCTCCAGAAATCATTGTAGTTGCATATGTGATATGTATGTACATTTTTTTAACATTTTTATTATAGATAGCTTCCCGTTAAAGCAATGTACTTTTGACGTATGTAATAACTGTCCCAGAAGTTACTTATCACCAGTGTTGTGCTAGTTACTGAAAACCAGTAACTAGCTACCATTACTAGTTACTTCATTTCAAAAGTAACTCAGTTACTTTACTGATTACTTACACCCAAAAGTAACGCGTTACTGTGAACAGTAACGCATTAGTTACCGTACTTAAAAAAAGGGCTCCCATTAATGCCCTTATAGCCTTCATTTCAGTACTGTTATTGCATTGGAGAATAATACAATCTGTTGATCAAGAAATAGAAATAGTAGAAATAGCCTGCATGTGTTCTACAACATACCGTGCAATGGCTTTATCAACTTTTCCCTGGCTAGCAGGCCCTCGGTTAAAATCCAGCCGCTGTTGCTTAGGTGGAGGTGGAGTGACGTCGG